GAAAAAATTAGTATTAAATTAGCCGCAAACTATGAAAATAGTATACAATTTAATTCGCAATGCAACCACCACGACCAGTTCAATATATTTGATATGATTATGTTGAGGATTTTGCAGCTATAGTCCTTTTTAAAACTAAACAATGAGATCTATTAGAAATCTAGTCGTCGTTTTCACTGGTAATAATATTTAAATCATAGGTTATAGTTTTATTATTGATAATCATGACTTTTGAATTTAGTCTATGGAGAAAAAGAAGGGAGGTTTTTTCGGTCTCGTTTCAAAAAGGTCAACAGAAAAATGTAACTTTATAAGTAACTTTGTCTCTTTGTATTTTTCATATTCTTGATTATGATCTTCAACACAAATCATGTCGCTATTCAAAGTTTCATCATTTTGCATAGGAATACTTTCACATTAAAAAGCTTCATTATACTCACGCGTAAGTAGCATCTTAAAGAAAAAAAACAGATTATGTATGCGTTACGTTTCACACGTAAAATTAATAAGAAAATTGATCTATATAATTTTTCTTTCCTTCAGTTCTTCACCAATCACACAGATAAAATAGTTCACAATAATAATAAAAAAAAACATCCTTGAAATATCGTAAGTGTTTGGATGGAGGAAAAAACAATTCACTTGTGTGTGTGTGTTTTTCTTGAAAAAATTGTCATCAACAAATCAATTGTTTATGGATAAAATATTTCAAAAGTTGGAATTTTACCCATGCAAACCGCATAGTAAGTTCCTAGTACATATAGTATTATTTATTTATACGCTATACATATTTATATGTGTGTGTGAACTCTCACATTTATTGCCACTGGATATTTTTTTTCTGTTTTTTGAGTTGAATTTCGAATTGTTGCATCTATAATCAATACTCACTTTTAAACCGGCCATTTTTAGGTGGGAAGTGGGGTTCACCGTTCACCATTGTATTTATCATATCCTCTCCATTGCAAATTACTGACAGTTCCACAAATATATTCAAAAATGTATTTGTAAATTTGGCTTTTTTTAAATTATTATCTCAAGTTATTATTTCGTTAAAGAAACTAAAATTCTTTTAACCACTACTTATTTGGATTAAATACCTTTTTAAAACCACATCCGTGTTTAAAAATCGGTTATTAACAAACGTTTTTGTTTGATATGGTTATGATATTAGATGATAGCGGTTTTAAATATGGTAGAATGCATGTTATTGAGAAAAACTAGAAATTTCAGATAGTATAATATTTACTAAAATGGCACATGAAAAGAAAATATAAAAATTAATGTTGACAAAGAAGAAACTTTATGAAGTGGACCATATATGTCTACACCTAATCCCTAAATAAAATGCACACTCGCAACAACACCTATGGAAGTTTGTGCATCACACCTTCTCACTTCTCTTAATCATACTAAACATTTCTCTG